CTCAGAGGCAGAGCGGGTCGTCCCCTAATCGGAAGGTTGTTGTCCCCGGCTCCTCCCAGTATCTTTGAGCAAGATACTGAACCCCAAATTGCTTCCGATGCTGTGCATTGGTGTGTGAATGTGTATGAATGAATTAGTTTCTGTTTGATGGACTTTGCCATCGTTGAGTGAATGTGTGTGAAAGGGCGATTGGGCATGTAGTGTAAAAGCTCTCTGAGTGGTTGGAAGACTAGAAAGGTGCTATACAAGTACAGGTCCATTTACCATAATTCCATTTTGACAATTAGAGCAGGCATGATGACTGTAATAGATTATTTTGAACTGACAACTGCAATTGATCAAACTCAAAGCAGCGGAGGCAGAGTTCAGCTCATTCGAAATTTTGTGCCAGATACCAGATAATGAAACTTGAAACTCCATCACCAATGCTGCTGGCTGCTCAATCTACAGTGAGAATTTTTTTGGGCTCTTTTGACAGTAAAGGTTCCTGAACCTTGACATAGACAAACATTTTTTTATAAGAATCCCTTTTATTTTGAGGACTGTGACCAAGATATGTAGTGAGTGGGACATTTTACAATGTAAATATAAATGATAGGGGGGCCAGGATAGCTCATCTGATATAGCTGGCGCCTCATGTAGTAAAGAAAGAACTAGTTTGAAATTAGGCACAGGCTCTGAACCAGCCCTTAAACTGAAGACCTCTACCAAGGCTGAGATACCTGATACCCCTTTTCCACTGGCTAGAAAGCTTCCATAAAGCCACGTCATTACTGACACTGAATTATTAGATACTGGAGGATACTGGAATACACCAAGAGTACAACAATACTACCAGGAAACGGTGCGGTGACTTAGGAATCTAACTGTGCAGATGTGCAGGTTTTCTAATCACGCAATTTTGCAACCATAATCCTTGTTAATGTCAGACATCCTCTAGCTGGAGAGACTTTTACACAGACTCTGTTATAACAGTGATTTACAACTGTCAGTGTTTACTATGTGTTCTATTCATAGAAGCAGCAGGGTCAAGGGAAGTGCTGCTCTTTTAGCTTTATAGCACAGCACATGGTAACCAGTGACGTCAGCTCAGATGTCAACACAACACTGCAGCGACATGCGAGTTCAGATAAAAGCAGGGGGAACTTGAGACAGATTTAACTTTTACTTGCATAAAACATTACTCCAAAGTGGCTTCTGTCAGTGATATGTCAGGGTGTAGAGTTCAGGTCAGAAACTCAATGAAAAGTGCAAGAGTTTAAAGAAGAGCTATCATGTAGCGTCAGTTAAATGGTACACTGTGGAATATCCACTGCTATAATGAAAATCATCAATCTGTACCATCAGCGGTAAAGACTCGCATCATTCATTTCATATCATGAAACCTCAAACTCTTGTGACTAACTGAAACAAAGTAACAGGCTAAATCGCTGCAGCCATTAAAGCCTGGCCACATTTCTAATAAGCCACATTTAGACAAAAATTGATCCATTTCAATGGAATCCACTATGACCAGTGGATTTGTTCACAGAAACTGAGTGCATCGTAAACATTTTCAAACTTTGATATATAAATTGCGCTGCTGATAGAATGGAGAAACTGGAAATCCTACTAGCTGAGTTCGATCGGACGACAGAGTGGATGGTAAAAAATGAATTTGCTTATATGAACTGTGCTAACTTCGGGTTTGCTTAATTTAAAAAGGACTATATGTGAAAACACTTTTACTGTCTTTTACTGAGAGCACAAGACGTCACCAAGCTTCCATCGCTACTTTCTTTGCCACCCTTCCAGGATGTGCAAATTCATTTTACTGTGCTACTCTTTTGGTCTAAGGGTCTTAAAGGTCCAGTGTCTAGGATTTAGTGGCATCTAGTGGTGAAATTTCAGATTGCAACCAACTTGCCTCACCCTCTCATTCCAAGCATGAAAGAAAAACTAAAGTGGCCACAATACTTTCGAAAAGTGCACAAGACCCTATTTAGAGGCAGTGTTTGGTTTGTCCACTCTGGGCTACTGTAGAAACATGGTGGACTCTCCGTAAATAAAAAGAGCTCAAGGTCACAAGGTAGCCATGCCCTAAAGCATATTCTGCTTTATTGTCTATTTTACTCTAAATGGGACCATCACTTACTAAATGAACATCGTGTCATATGGAAGAAGACTTGAAACTAGAGATTGAGACCATTAACTCATGGACTGTTTACTGAGCTAATAAATCAAGTGAGTAGTCAGCCCATAGAGCTGCCCCCTGCTGGCCATTAGAAAGAATGCATGTTTAAGACACTTGTTGGCTTCACTTTACCCTAATTATCAATGAGTATAATACGCAAAAAAAGTATAACTTGCAATTTTGGCATTGCAGTCTACTTTGCTCCAAGGTGTAATGACATGACTTAGATGATCAAAGCATCCCTAAGCCTTACTTGTAGTGGAACTAAAAATTTAACGACTGGTTCATTGACTGAACAAGAAGCCAAGGTGATTGTCCTCTGGGGAGCATGACGTGCTCAGTAAATCTAATGGCAATCTGTTCATTTAATATTTCTTCAGTTCAAGTGTAAAGATTTTGCTTAATGGTTGTGCTAGAAGAAAGGTCTGGGGGTCAGCAATCATATGAGAATTCATTGTCTTGACCATAAATGAAGAAGATCTTTTCCGCCTCACTCCCCATTTTGTTTGGACTTCCTGCTATTTATTTTCAACATACTCCATCACAAATAGCATCAATGCTTTTCCTAAATATCCCCGCATTCTGTCATTCTGTCTTTCAGACCTACTGTTGTGCATCTTACCACTTACCCATCACCTCCTTAGCCCCTAGGTTTTATCTTCTACGTGCTGGCTTTGCTTCACCACTACAAATGTCAAGACACTGGGGATTCTACCAATCTTTGTTTGTAGTCCTGTGCTTATTGAATATGCATCACAGTAATTGGGTCTAATATCTAAAGTCCTTCTCTGTTTTTAACCTTAATATAATTTCAATGCATCACCCCTTATTGAAATGTCCAAATCAAATTTTATAGAAATATGGTCATCAACAATTTTTGAGATTCCATCCTCTGGACCAATGACCACTTGAGGAGTTATCTAGGTTTCCAAGTTAGCCTATGTCCAGACCTCTGTATTTCTGCTGATTTCTCTGTTTTGTTTCAATTTAATGGAAAACAATCTAGTTAATCAACACTCAAAAAAGGAGGGAGGGGTTGTACTTCCTCAAATCAATGTTTGAGGAGCCATTAAAGTGAGTCCTGCCTCCAAGAAGTGTCTGAATACAATCTCAATCTCAGATCAAAGTAGGACTCACTTTGGCTGGCCAGCAGGGTGTTCAGGGACTCTGTCCATTTTTCCAACTCTTCTCGACTGATTTTCCCCCTTTTACTGTGGCCCACCTGACTCCACTGACGCATGAAGAGCAGACGAGACCTCCTCTCTGTAGCACTGTGGAGCAAGGAACACCAGCCAAAGGTGAATTTAGCAAAAGATAATGCTATCATCCTATCTCAAAACAAACATCAGGACAATCTTTAAGATTCAAAAATACGGATTTTCCTTCAGGATAGAATTGAATTAATTTGAAGACATCTCATTTTTGTCGAAGGAAAGAAAGGAACTGTCTCGAGTTTGGTGACATTTAACATGACATTATTTTATGTGAGATAAACAACAGAAAATAAATGTGATTCTTACCTGTCTTTTTGTTCTGAGTTGGACAGGTTGGAGTTTGAGGAATGAGGACTCTGAAACAAAAACCACAAAGTTAACTGGAGATCTTCCTCCAGTTCCACTCTTACAATGTTTTTTCACCAAATCCTTCTTGGGAGATTCTTGAAACCTTAGCGCTATCTAGTGAACTAGCCCGCATTTCCACCAGTTTTGAATGGAACCATTGCAACCAAGGATGCGTCATCAACGCCCTTTAGAATATGACATGCCCACTTCTGTTCCCAAGGAAAACCTGCTATTTTTTTGTTCCAGTTGGGAATCAACTTTTTTTTCTTTTCTTGCCTAGTACTTCAGGAGAACAACTTCTATTGTACTTGTGAAGTACAAGGCAAGGCAACAACCAGTTTTGCCCATATCAGAGTGAACAATCTGGGAAATGTCCACCTATCAATACGGTGGAAATTGGTGGAGCAAGGTATTGCATACCATTTCTGGCAGTCTTCACAGAACCATAGTTACATAGACAACTCTTGTTTGCAGTAGAGATTCGCTGATTTATTGATTGAATAAGCCTATTGGCAAATAAGATAACATTAACCAATGTCAGTGGCCAGTGTTTATGCGTCTGTGTTTGGTTGGGTCCTACCACTTTCACCGCAATGGTTTCAGCTGCAGAAGACTATACTAATATTGCTCCGTGTCTGCTGAATGTCTAAACAGGCAACTGTTAGCTAACATCGTATGTTTATGTCTGGTTTTATTCAGTTCCAGAGTTATTGCATTGCAATGCAGCATGGACGTTTTAGGTCAATCTTTGATCAATAACTCAAAGAGATTTTAAGTCTCTGCAAGTCCTTTTTTATAGCACACTGAAATTAACAGAAACCAATGGCAGGAAAGTGGGAAAAAAATCTGTAAGTAAATATATAGTAGACGCATGTGTATGTAAATGTATGTGAGGCCCTCCGTCAGGAACTGAGGAGAGCCACTGAAATTGCTTTTTTTCCTCATCTACATCGGTGAATGAAGGATTTATTTTATAATGACATTACAGTCATTATTGCTGGTCTGTAAGGATCCTTCTATAATGTTGTCAGACACTTACCAAACCAGAGCTGGTGATTGTTGCAAAGACTAATAAAGACAGTTTTGGTCAGTTTCAATTTGTTTCAGTCTAGTTTTATGATTAACTGCTAGGAAAAATTACTAGTTTTGGTCAGTGGAGTATGGCACTTATCCATTTTCTGAGATTCTGTGGGACATATAGTTGCATAACTTTGTGTCCAGCAGTAATGTCTACATTCTGCTCTACAGTACAGACTAGCACTAGGTGTCCCACCTGCCCAAACAGACTCTTGAGGTGCAGTTTAGCAGATGACAGTTTGGGTTTAGGGTGGTGCCGGTCCAGGGTTTTGAAGGGGAAAAGGTTTAAGAAAGACGAGGGAGATGGGGGAGGCAGGTCATCTCTCTCGACGCTCTCCGAGCTGCCCTGGGCGGCCGGAGCCAGCTGGCTGTCACTGTAGGCCCTGCAGCTTTCACTGATGGCGCACACTCCGAGGTGGTTTTTGTCCAGTTTCCCCAGCTCGCTCAGGTTCTCTACGCTAACGCTGTGCTCCTTGGTCAGCTCCTTCTGCCTTGCTTCGCTGGGACTCGCTCTGGGCTCCCGGATGGTGGGACCGGCCGATCTCCCGTCCAGCTCATCTTCCTCCGTGTGAGGTGTGTAGGTCCCAGACTCCCGGTTGTTTGCATTATCTGGCTTTTTCAGTGCAACCCTCTTCCAAGGGAGGAAGTCTAGGTCCAGGAGGGATCCCTCAGAGCTGAATCTACGCATGGTAGCTGTATGAGAAGTTATGGAGGGAGTGCTAGAAAAAAGTGCAAAAGACAAGAAATTAGGTAAAAGGGTTAAGAAGAGAAAGCAAAAGCCTGTTAATGAGGCAGGGAGGCAATAATACTGAACAATCAGAGAAATGGGTCGCACACAATGAATTGCTCCACATTGCTGTTTCTACTCACTGAACAGTAGCCCACTTGGGAACCAACTTTGCAAATAAAAGCTTAGAACCGCCCTCTCTTAATTTATGCACACACACGCACACAGGTTAAATCATTAACGTAGATTCAAATACAATTGTCTTGCCTCAGAAAGTTCCATAAGCATTTCACTTTAATCTTAATGTAAGAAGTTTAGGGATTTAAAGGCAAGCTAATTTCAGGGTTTTAGTTATCCTCTACTGCAAACTAATAACAAATTTGACTCATAATACCACAGTCCTGAGATAAATATTTATGATATATACACACACACACACTGCTGATGAAAAGTTTAGGGTCACCTGTTATTCAGTTGTTCTTTCCTTCATTAATGGCTGTTTTAACAGATAAAAACTGTATAATTCAGACACAAAATGTGTTATTTACATTTTAAAAATAAGAATAATTGAATGTCCCCACAGTGCTGTATGACAGGGTGGAATATTTTTGAAACCTTCGATTTTGAATGTGTTTTCCAGTCCAGAAAAGCGTCAGTGACCCGAGATCATTATTGAACCACAACGGTGCAACTGGGCTCTAAATATTTAGGAAACCTGTTTTTCTTTGGGCCCTCTGCAGTCTAGTGGTCATACTGAACACTGTGATCTGTCAGTCTATAGTCAGTTCACCTAATATTGAATAGTACTATAACCCTACATCAAACTTCTGTTTCTATTTTGAAGTTTTAAAAATAGCTAGCTGCAGCTTGTTAGAGACTTTATTGTGCAGGAACCTGTTCCTGTTTAAATCTGCACACATTTTGATGTTAAGCTTCCGGTTTGTTTGACCAATGACTGCTGATTTCTTTATATTCTCATTGAACTGTTACTCAGAGGGATCTTTGTCTCTCTTTGCCCTTTCGGTTGTCAGTCTGGTTGAACCATTGTGCAGTGTTTCTCTATATCTGTATCCAGTTAAGCTTTAGTGGCAGCTGACCCCAACATTTTGAGCAGTAGTGTATGTGCATGTACTTTTTTTTTACATTGGCATCAAATATAGATCAAACAACTGATGTAAATTAAAGTTAAAACTTACATGTAAAACATGTAAAGCCAAGTAAAGAAAATGACAGAGGAAATGTTAAAATGTAAAAGATATTTCGCCAGACATTTGAATCATGATACAAATATGTTAAGATTCAAATGGGTGAAAAATTAATGAATCTTAAGATCTGAAGAATTGTTGTATCGAGGCAAAAAGGGTTCACTTCACTAAATGAAATATACATTGTTTACCTCAGTTTATACCCTACCTCAGAAATAAAAAATCTTTAATCTAATTTAATCTAAAACATTTTTTTAATCTAATAAAGAAAATATATTTTGTGGATTTTTGTCTGGGAAAATCAAATTTTGTTGAAAAAGTAGTTTCCTGTATCATGAATTGTATTGAATTGTGAGCTGAGTTTATCGTTACATCCCTAGTTAGAAAGAACATAAAATTAAAAAGGAATTAAAGCTGCAGTAGGTCACTTTTATTAAAATAACTTTTTGCTGAAATGTTCAATAGGCTATATCCCGACAGTACTACATGAGACAGATAATCTGTGAAGAAAAATAATGTTCATCTGGCTTGTTTCAGTGTTCCTACTGACATTTTCAAGAATCTACCATGCAGGCCCAGACAAAAATAACCAATCAGCCAAGAAAGATATAAAAACGCTTTGTGTTGGAACTCCCCGGGTCCCAAAGGGTCCATATTTGACACCGTGGGAATGAAACTGAACAATCTTGGCTCTGATTGGTTGTTATTCGTTCAGACACCCATAAGGAGCACTAGGATGAACCAGAGGAACCTGATTGTTTCACAGATTATCTGTCTCATGTAATACTGTCAGGATATAGTGAAAGTGTCAGCAAATATGACCAGAAGTTATTTTATAAAAGTTACCTATTGTAACTTTAATAGAGTATAAATTATGAGTTCTAGGTCATTTTTTCCCTTGAATAATGACTGAACATGAGGAAACTATCACTGGCATGGTTCCATTGTTGCTCATAAGGAAGTGGTTCTGAATGCTACCTCGTTTTATATTACTTGGTGATAGTGGCAATTAAAATCCAGTCCTAGTAGACCTTTGTTCACTGCCGCACACTGTAAAAAAAACAACTCATCAAGGCACCAAGAGTGCCAACACTTTGTTTTAACGCCAGTGTATGTTTACCTCTTCGTCCAGCGGTTGTTAAGCTCTCTTCATGGCAGATGTCCAAATCTTATAAGCGACATGAACGTTCAGAAACGCCGATTCTCCAAAGACAGCGAAATCCAGCCTGCGACTGTGCTTCTGCCGCTGTCTGAGACCTGTCCTCGGCTCAGTCGGACCTCCCTGCTGCTCCAGCACTAATATATGCACAGAGACATTAAGAGGGCTCGCGGAATGAAGACAGACATGAGTAAAGTTCCAGAAAGTTTCCCTCCGTGACAGCTGAATGGCACCGAGAGGCCTCCTCCTCATGACTCCCGCCGCCCGCCACACCTTCTCCTCTGCCTCAACTTGTCCGTGTCAGACAGAGACTTCTTGAGAAGCGCAGCCCAACACACACACACACACTCTTTCATTCGCATAATTTGAGGTGTGTCCTCCTGGAAAACACACGACAACCCACTGTACAGGCAACAGTTCACTGAGACAAGCAGTAGAGTCTGAGCTCTCCATTCCACCTTCAGGATTTAAAGAAACATCATTTGTCATTCAAATTGATCAATTATCTCCGGCAGGGAACAATATATAATTAATTTGCGCATTAATTTAACTACAATTTTACATTCACAAAACGATTTTCTTTAAGAAGAAGCTTCCACCTTATATTACATTTAAAAATGCAGTAATTCTTATGAAATTGTTTGTTCACTATATCCAGTGACAGTAGAACACCAGACAGATAATCTGTGTTACTTCCTACCTTGATAAATATCTATACTTTCTATTCCTTACATTTTAAAAACAGGCTTTAATTTGAATGCATTTGAGGGGAATCAGCGCCGCCAACATTTTAGATTGGTTTCCAGTGAGATATTGAGTTTACATAGTGACTTGTTGATGCTCTAGAAACAATGTGTAGTTATATTTAAAGCTACAGTATGTCACTTTAATTTAAATAATTTTTTTGTCATTATTGTTTAGAATATTCGTCATATTTGCTAAAACTTTCACTATATCCTGACAGTAGTACACGAGACAGATAATCAGTGGTTCCTCTGGCTCCTCCTAGTGCTCCTAATGGCATTTGCAAGAATCCGCCTCTGATTGGATATTTCATCCACACCTGGTGGATTCTTGCAAATGCCATTATCATCGTTAAAGCAATAATGGCATTTGTCTTATGTACTTCTGTCAGAACACAGTGAAAATTTAATTAATATGGCAAAAGGTTCCTTTTATAAAAGTTACCTACTGCAGCTTTAAACAAACAGATTATATCTTAACATATATCTTCAAACACTTTAAATAACCAAAACTATTACCTTATGTAAACTCTATAATATTATACTTCATTATATATTCTTATAAATTAACCTCTTGTGTTATGTGGGTTTGATTTGTGTTTAATGTATTTTTGTCATCACTATTGTATACTGAAAACCTGGACTTTTAAACAACACTTATGGGGCATAATATCTTGTATTGTCCAAACAAAAAACAACCCAAAAACCTTCAGTACTACAGGTTCTACCATTAGATAGATAGATAACCGATACCCCAACCACCACCACTACTAAAACTATTATTATTAATAATGATTATCATAATGTCAGAGCCATAGAGAACATAGAGTTCTATCGCTGTGTCTTTGCTAACAATAAAAATCAATCAATCAATCATAATAATAATAATAATAATAATAATAATAAATAATAATAATACTGAGATGACAGTTGAAATAATTACCGTCTTTTTAAAATGAACTAACGTTATACACAGCCAAAGTGACACCCATCAGAACACAGAAGCGCTCAGGCAAGAAACAGACGCTCCTCTTTACGTCATTTGGGTCCTTTGACGTTGCATTTCAGAGCCGTGTTTTATTGGGGAGAATTAAGCTAGTTAGCTAACGGATCAACCTGAATGCACTCGCTCGCTCCAAATCAAGAGTTTGAGAAGGAATACAGTTCCACAGGCTGTGCTATATTCTGGCAGACTTTAAATCCAGCAACACCTCTGAGCAGGTTTTCGCTGAACGCGGACAACGATCTCCCCAGTGGAGAGTATCTAGTTAGCACCGTTAGCCGCCCGGTAACTGGGGTTAGCTGTTAGCCGGCTAATAACATCAAGGCTCTGGAGCTGTCTGTAACCAGGTGCTGCCTGATTTATTATGCACATTTATTATTTAATAGCGGATAAACCTTACTCTCTTATGTCCTGTTTCCCCCACATCCCCCATATTAAAGATAATCCCCAATGCACACGTTAACGTTAGCAGGCTAACGCTATTTACAGATCTAACTTTATTATTATTTCAGACATTCTCCAATATGGAGTCCAGCGGCATGATTGAAGTCACTGTGAAGACTCTGGACTCCCAGAGCAGGAGCTACAAAGTCAGAGGCGAGGTAATGCTCTTAGATTGACTTAAACACTGCTCCGTTTAGCCCCCCCGTTCCACTGACAGGTAGTGTATTGTGTTTGTTCTCCCAGCTGACAGTGAAGCAGTTCAAGGAGCATATAGCAGCATCAGTGGAGATCCCAGTGGACAAGCAGAGGCTCATCTACCAGGGCAGAGTGCTGCAGGATGACAGAACGCTGACTGAGTACAGTGAGTCAATGAGATCTGTTCACCTACAGTATACACATACACACAAACAAGCACATACAGTGTTCCTGTACTGTATAAATATAAATAGTGGAGCAGTATGATTTGAAATCAACAACAAATTTGTTTTTATAACCTGCAAAGGATAGAGAAGGTGATCTTTTACCCTTGCCCACAGTGCTGAAAGTTGTATTTCTATGCTTAGCATTTAGAGCTGCAGTAGGTCTTTTTTTTATAAAATATCTTTTGTCATATTTATTCATTCTTTATAATATTACTGCAATAAAAACATTGAAATCAGATGTAGACAAATGACCATGACAGTTATTATTATTATCAGGGATACTGTGTGCCACTCTGTAGTAATACTCCTCTAGTAATACTAACTATACTAACTTTAAGTACCCTAAACTACTGCAATCATGGCAACTGTTTCAACTTCAGCACAGCACGGAGATGTTGTTGTTGTCATTCGCTGTGGTCATTCGCCGTTGCCAAAGTACTGCTTTATACTCTACCCTGTCATATAATTGCAATGTTTGCATTGTAATTACTTAAAACACTGATGACGCTTTGGTGAAGTTAACTATCTGGTGGAAATATAACCAGCTGAGCAGGACTAAAATACCAAGTGCTCCAACTAATGGTAACTGGTTATTATAGACCTTTTTTAAATTCATTAGTTAATTGATTAGCATGCAGCGGCTGTGGCTTAAATAACCAATTAGAGCAAACAAAAAAAGTTGATTGTTGAGTCTCACTCCCAGGTCTTCAAATACCGATGCTGGGAATGAGACTCTACAATGTATCTGAATGAATCTTCAAGCTTCAAACCTAAAGTGTCTTTATATCTTTCTCAGCTCTGATTGGTTGTTTTTGTTCAGGCCTGGTGGATTCTTGCAAATGCCATTAGTAGCACTAGGAGGAGCTAGAGGAACCTGATTATCTGTTTCATGTTCTACTGTTAGGATATAGTGAAAGTTTCAGCAAATATGACAAAAGGTTCTTTTTTTTAAGTTACCTACTGCATCTTTAACTTATTATAACAACATGTAGTAGTAAAGAGAAAAATTTGTGATTATAACTTGAAAATATTTAGTTGTAATGTGAAAGTGTTCTTGGTATAAGGAAAAACTTATACAAACGCCATTTTTGTCATGGCGGCAGCAATATGCTCCAGTAGTTGAGTCTATGAAATATCAAAAGTTATGACACATTAATATTATATAAGTTACCAGATCCCAAATAAAAATAACCAGAGATGGTTCGTTCAGTATAAAATGAAAAATAGCAGCAAATGGTCACACTTGAAAATGACAATGTTTGTTACGGTATGTAATGAAGTTCATCCCTTTGTTTCTCCCTCAGATGTAGATGGAAAGGTAATCCACCTGGTGGAGCGGGCCCCCCCTCAGGGCACCATGTCTGGTTCTGGAAGTGCAGGTGTTTCCATGGGGGGGGTAGAGGGCGGGAGCAGTAGCAGCCATGCCTCCACCTCCTCCCAGGGTTCACCACACGACCGCAATGGCAACAGCTACGTGATGCTGGGGACCTTCAACTTGCCGGTCAACATCATGGACCCTCAGCAGATACAGGTTGGTACAAGCTTGCTGCACACAAGCCAAAACACCTTCGTGGTTTGTGACAGCTGGAATTTGTTTTGTAGTTGTCCGTTCAGCAGATGATGGCTGGAGTCGGTGAAGCTGGAAGGACTGCCAGAGTCAGCACCAGCTCCGGGGTAGGCTCATTATTCACCATTTTTTTCATCAGGCAATTTTAGCCCTTTGGTCTTCCTTTACAGGGTTTCCTCAAGTCCGTAAAAAGTCTAAAATCCAATAATCTGGATTTTTGGCCTTAAAGCTGCAGCAGGTAATTTTTATAAGAATAACTTTTTGTCATATTTGCTGAAACTTTTACTTTATCTTGGCATTAGTACATGAGACAGATAATCGGTGGTTCTTCTGGCTCCTCCTAGTGCTCCTAAGGGCATTTGTAAGAATCCACTGAATGAAAACAACCAATTAGAGCCAAGGCAGATTGTTGATTGTGTTATTCCTGGGGCGTCAGATACAGACACTGTGAATGAGACTCAACAATCAACTATTTTCAAGCTTCAACCCAAAGTGTCTTTATATGGTTCGATGTCCTCCCTGACATTGTCGACTAGAAGATCCTTGGAGGGCAAGGAACTGCAACCCCAAATTACTGCAACCCCAAATTCCAGTCAGTTCTGTCGATGTACTTTGCGAATGTGTGTGAAAGGGCTGAAAAAAAAAAAAAAAAAAAAAAAAAACGGGGTGAATGTGGCACGTAGCTGTAAAAGCGGCTTTGAGTTGGTCGGGAAG